CTGTTGTTGTTGTTGTTATGTGCCGTCGAGTCAAACTCGACTCATAGCGACCCCTCCTTGGGTTTCCGAGGGAGTATCACTACAGAAGTAGGATTGCCCAACCTTCCTTCCGAGGAGTGGGACTAGTGGACTGAAAAATAGCCACAGCCCCCTTTGCTTCTGTGAAATGAAATGAACAGCCTGGCCCCTTCTTCTCTTCTGTTGCCACTAATTCTAACATTTTTACACATACAAAATCTTTCGTTCATTTCAGCAGGATTTTGTTTCTCATGAATGAGAACTGCCAAATTGGCCTTAAAATGATTAGTCTTCCTGACAACATATAAAATGATGATGTTAAATGGACCCAACACCATGTTCCCTTTTTCTCTGCTAAAAGAATGAGTTTAATCTCCTTAGTTTGTGTCTTTGAAGACGTTGAGGGAAGCTCCTTGCCTTCGGCAGTCATCAGTAAGTTAAGAGCAATGCACCGGTTCCAGTCTTTCCCAGCCGAGGCTATCTGAAACCTAATTTGAAGCCATGGGTAATAGAAGGGGGGATGACCTCTGCCAGCCAAGAAGGGAAAAGCATTTTCCTGGGATGAAGGGAAGATGCAATGAGAACCGAAGAGATAAATCCCTAAGAAATAGGCTTCATCTTTCCTATCCTTTCTGTTCCATTCTTTAAGCCATCAAAATTATTTCTCTGCCCAGTTAGACCATCTGCAGACTCCGTCGAACTCCTATTATGTTGATCCAGACTATGAACATATATTCAGCCAAAGAAGTCCAGATTAACAACACTGATCTTAGCTTTTCTTTTTTATAATAAAAAAGCAAACAAATAAACAAACAAACAAGAAGTATTTCTTGAACATTCACAAAGCACCACTAATTGCTATGCTGAGCTTAACTACAAAGGCCCATCTTATTTCCAAAACAGCCCATCAAAGCTCAGGGATTATTAGTCCATATTTTGAAGGAGAAGCTGAATAATTTTAAAAGGTTACATAATATGCCCAGGGTCAGAGAGCCTGAATGTGAACCAAGTACACTCTGTTTCTAAGGAGTCCTGGTGACACAATGGTTCTGCACTCAGCTGCTAACAGAAAGGTTGGCGGTTCAAAACCAACTCAGCAGCTCTGGGGGAGAAAGACCTAGCTGTCTGCTCCTGTAATAAAGATGACAGTTTAGAAAGCCCTATGGGGCAGTTCTCAGTCACATGTGGTCGCTATGAGCCAAAGTCAACATGGCCCCCAACAACAATAAAGTAGTGTGTTTCTGGTGCCCACCTCCTTAACCATTTTTACTCTGCCATTGGTGTAGTGCTTAAGGCATTTGACTGCTATCCAGAAAGCTGAAGGTTCAAACCTACCAGTCACTCCTTGGAAGGAAATTGGGCAGTCTACTTCAGTAGTCATGCCACCTCGGAAACCCAAGGAGGGGTCGCTATGAGTCGAATCAACTTGATGGCAGTTTTTTCATCATTCGGCAGAACTGGAGAACACACAGACTCACTAATTAGAACAAACCACAATACCCCACCCAAGCAGCTTACCCACATGTGTAGGCCTCTTGGCATTTGTTCCTTTTATACCACAGCCTTATTCTGTACCCCCAAGGAAAGCTTTCAGAGAGTAATTCTGTTATTTTGTCACAACATAACTTTTTTCTTTTCTTTTTTTTTTTTTAAGAATGACATCCAAGTTTTCAGTTATCCTTTAGGATGACTTTCTCAACCTCCTTTTTTGTTGCTTTTCATAGTATTCACAGTTTATGAGAAAATGCTGGGATATACTTGACTTCTCATAATAGTGAAGGAGCACCATGAAAATTGATGGGGATAGTGAGCTCATGGAATGATGGCATAAAAAGTAATAAAGAGCCAGCAGCTTTTTGCAAGACCAATGATTATTATAAATACAAGACAGTCATTGAAGGGGGACGATGCGGTTTTGATGGGTGTGAATGTTTGGCCTTTTTTTTTTTTTAATTGTGATGTGGGTGAAGATTTACAGAGCAAATTCACTTTGCATACAGCAGTTCACATATACTTTGTCTCATGTCATTGACCACAGTTTACCACAATGCAACAGCTCCCCTCCCACTTCCTCCCCATAGTAACCTATTCCCAGTGTCCATCCCTCCATACACTCCTGCCCCCGAGCCGTCTCCCTGTGCATAAGCATGATTGGCCTTTTTTAAAAAAAAAAAAAAAAAGACAGGGTTTGTCTTTCATTGTTTGAACAGTTTGTGTTAGAGGTATAATTGATACTAAAAGTCCTAAACTCATCTAAGAATGCAATAGTCCATGTTAGTTTGGACTTAACCTAACAGAAAAGAAAATTTGCCTTTTTGCCTTTTTCTGCCACCTTGCTCATTTTTAGGTGATAGTAAAATTGAATGTGAGGCAAAATAAGGAACCTGGATAGATTTCAACATGGATGCTGAAACTAAGTAATATCCTCATGGAAAAATAATTTGGCTTATGGTAGTTACCCCAGAGTTACGGATGTGGCTCTGTATATGTTTTGAGTATGTGTTCCTGTTGTTGTTGTTGTTGTTGTTGTTATGTGCCATCAAGTCGGCCCCGACTCATAGCGACCCCTCCTTGGGTTTCCGAGGCAGTATCACTACGGAAGTAGGATTGCCCAACCTTCCTTCCGAGGAGTGGCTGGTGGGTTTGAACCACCAGCCGTCTGGTTAGCAGGCAAGTGTCTTAGCCACTATGCTACCAGAGCTCCCTAGCATACTGTTATTACCTTTGACGTGTTAAAAAGTCGGCCTTTGGGTGAAATGTGGAGGAGATGGCTCCTTTTGATGCTGGGAATTTGGATTTTTTATCTACCAAGTTGTCTTTGTAACTGCTACATCAACAGTGTTTATCCCCAAATTAAGTCACATTTAATATTCATCAGACTTTTCAGTAAATACCACCTCTCATCCATTTATTTGTAATGTGCAGCATGGCAGAAACATCTTGTTTTTACTAAGTGGCCCCAATTCATTCTGCCCCACAGTAATTTGAAACCAAAGTTCTTTTTTTTTGTTGTTGTTGTTATTGTTTGTTTTGGTTTTTTTTTAAATACATCTTAAGTATATTTTAGTTTTAGTATGTCAAAATTTAGAAACACTTACATAGAAAACAATAACTGTAGAAAAATACCATTCCCCACATTTTAATTGTTCTGACTGAGCCACTTGGGAAAACTAGATTCCTTTAGCATTATGTGTTCAGAGAATCTTTTAGTTGGCTGTTCAATAACTTACTAAGAACTAGAGGATGAATAACATGAAGTGGTTCCTAATATGGTATCATTTTCATTTCCTGTTTGTTGAAAGAATCATGCTAACTCCATAAGGCCATTTTTTCTTTCTTTTTTAAATTTATTCCTCCCTGAACCACAAGAGAATAAAAAAATCAAATGTTATATGGCTTTAGACTGAGTCACCCACCCAGTTAGGATGAGAGAAAGGTTTTTCTCTTCTGCTTTGTGCCCTTCCTTCCTTCCGTCTCACCCTCGTCCCTGTACTCCTCTTCCCCTTCCTCTTCTCCTTAGAAAATAACTTTTTTCTGAAATGTGAGTCTGTCTTCTTTTTTATTTTGGGATAAGTATAGATTTTACAGACAATCTATTCCTTGATTTTTAAAGGATGTAAGGTTATGTGACATAGAGGGAACAAGTCCTTCCCTGATTCTGAGGCATTATTTTGAACAAATGGTCTATAAATTATTGACATGAGACAGTTCTCTCTCCCTCTTTCCTCCCTCCCTCCCTCTCTCTTTCTCTCTCACATCTCTTCTGTGTTTTCCCTTGACCACACAGCTGTTCTCTTAACAATACCTTTATCTTCTGTGGATATAGTCCACCATTTCTTTGACAGAAGTAATCATTTTCTACCTCCTGTGCCCAACTGTTTCAAGCTATCGAAAACACCATAAGGTTAAAATGATCCAAGGCGAGTTTTTTTTTTAAGTGTATTTAAAAAGTAATATTTGAGTGCCTATTGTGTACCTATATGGTTAGAAACTCCTGTACTTTTGAGAAGATAATTTTTTTACAGAATGAGGAGGTACTCAAACACTGAATAAATGAATAAGGAAGCTTATTCTGTGTTCATTTGAAAAGGGAAACCTGTCCACCCTTGTAGTCCTGCTCCCGCCCTGCTGATAGCATTTGCTGGTGCTATCATAATCTGTACCCACGTGTCCATCTAGCTAGGAGTTTCTCTACAACCACAACAGATGAGTTTATGAGTTTTAGCTCCCTATCTCATTTTCCTCTGGCTTCCTTGTGAATAAGGTTGGTTAAAAGGCATGATTTGTATTGGTCTTTCAGCTGTCTGTGTTGCATGGGACCCTTTGGTGCCAGCTGGTCTAGAACTTCCCAGCTAAAGACTCATGTATTTTGTTGAGAATTCTCATGCCAACACCTCTGGTTAGCTGGTGTTTTAGGTTTCTAGTACTGCTGTAACAGAAATACCACAAGTGATGGCTTTAGCAAACAGAATTTTATTTTCTCACAGTTTTGGAGGTTAGAAATCCAAATTCAGAGCACCAGCTCTAGGGGAGGGTTTTCTCTCTCTGTCTGGTCTGGAGGAAGGTCCTTTTCTCTCTGGCTTCTGCTTCCTGGTTCCTTGGAGATCTCTACGTGTCTTGGCATCTGTCTCACCCCTTCTCCCCTGCTGGCTTGTTTAATCTCTTTTATATCTCAAAAGAGAGTGACTCAAGATACACCTACTGTAATCCTGCTTCATTAACATAACAAAGCGACGTATTCCCACATAGGATTATAACCACAGGCATTGGGTTAAGATTTACAACACATAATTTTAGGGACACGACTGAACCTGTAACACAGTTTGGCAGTGGTCATATAGATTTAAAAACAATTAGGCAATGAAAATGATTCTGCCATGTGCTGTGCTACTATAGTTTAAGTTGGAATAGTATCCTTTCAGGTGTTAGAATAGTAATGCATTTATATTCCAAGAAGTAACAAAGCACTTTCTCCCTTCTAGCTTGCAAAAGACAAAGAGCGCCTGCAAGCTATGATGACCCACCTGCACGTGAAGTCTACAGAACCCAAAGCCGCCCCTCAGCCTGTAAGTACTGATCCCTGCCAAGTGGCCAAAAAAAAAAAGACCTTGCAGTATTTTCTTCTCTACACAAGGCAACTTTGGTAGGTTTCAGAGTTGAAGATTTAAAGTTCACTTCTGTTTCTGGTTAACTTCTATGATGAGATGGTAGGATGGTCCTTGTCATCACCAGACCTGGTCCTTGCCCATAGGCTCAACCAGCTCTTCTTTGGCTGAGAATGATTGATGCTAAACTGAAGTACTAAAATGTCTTAGGAATTCACTGAAAGAAGAAAATCTTTCAGAGTGGTGAATTCAGAGAAAGGAGCTAGACCATGAAGGCAGAAGAAAGATGCATTTCAGCCTAGCTAAGCTAAGAACTCTGGTGGCGTAGTGCCTAAGATATTTGCCTGCTAACCAAAAGGTTGATAGTTTGAACCCACCCACCACTCCGTGGAATAAAGATGAGGCACTCTGCCTCTGTAAAGATTTACAGCCTTGGAAACTCTATGGGGGGTCACCTGTGAGTCAGAATCAACTCAATGGCAGTGAGTTTGGTTTCTTGGAAGCTGAGAGATGGTGGTATTTGAGAAAAGGAGGGAGTAATCGTCAAGTATAAGTGAAACAAAGGAAGGGAATGAGAAACACACTGAAAATCCCAGTAACAAGTTGCTATCAGGTTGATTCCAACTACATGTGTAACAGAGTGGAGCTGTGTTCCATAGGGCTTTCACTGGATGGTTTTTCAGAAGTAGATTGCCAGCCTTTTTTCCTCAGGCACCTCTGGGTGGGCTCAAACTCCTGCAGCCTTTCAGTTAGCAGTCAAGTGTCTCAGCCATTTGCATCACCCATGGACACCACTGTAAGAGTAGTTAGAGTCTAAATTATTGAGAGCATCTATCTCATAGTTAGGAAGGAATTTGAAGTAAAAACTGCTCCTTCACAGTTCGAAGACCAAACATGGTACCAGTATTAGGGATAATTTTTGCAATCTCCTATTTCTTACCTTGTTCCCTTTGATTTGATTTTGACCATCCAGGCACTGGCAGTTAACATCCAAGTGGAAGGATGGTATCTAAGCCCCAAATCCTGTCTTGGGCCTCATTCCATATTATAAATCAATCTCGTAAGCAGTTGTATTTCTCATATACTTACATTTCTCAAATTCTTCTAGTAGCTTCAACTGATTATTCAAAATGGAGAGAATGCCTTGCTTCTTGATTTTAAGATTTGTAAAATTTAAAGGTACACTGCCTTTATTTGATTTTGCTTGGAGTCACTGTGTGAAAATTAATTGAGCGTTGACAATCTATAGTTAGTACCAGCAATTTTAATCAATATGCAATGATGCAGCATAATGGCAAAGTATTGGTTTATCTGTTTTGACTGATTTTTTTCTATAAATAAAGCAAACATACACCCATATATGTATGATTTATGGTGATAGAAATAAAACGGAGTCAGACTATTAACCCAGCAAATATGGTAGCCTGCCAAGATGCAGTTGGCAGACAAAATTAATGTCTGAAACAGAACACATTACTGAGATATAGGACATAAAATCATTAAACACTTCGCGCATCCATTTTTACTAGGAAAGAGTCCTTAGCTTCCACGTATTTTACAGTAAATGACTGCAGGACTAGGTGTGTGGGCTACTAAAAAGAAAGGAAAGAAAAGAACCAGGCTACTCAGTGTTGTGGAATCAGTAGTCAACTGTGCTATTTTTATCACCCTCTCCCAAAGACTGGGAAAAACACAAACTCAGCTAAGCAAATTGGTGAGACGCTGGAGGTGACTTGGCTAACTTCTCCAGTGGGTATTGCCAGTTGCAAAGGGTACCCGTCTCCTTGGAATCCTCTGAAAGTCTTCAGTTGGCTTTACTTTTCAAGGACAGTGTTTTCCCCAGGAAGATGGCTTTGAGTCTTTAGACAGAGAAAAGGAGAGAATGAGATAATCTCTTTTCTCTGTGGATAAAAGATATAATGATAAAATAACATTGGGACTTCTTACTCTAGGAATGAATGTATTTTTTCATCATGGCCTTCCTTGGGAGGAAGAAGCATAAAACTAAAGACAAGTCGTGGCAAAGCCCCATGGGGCATCTGCAAGTGATAGGGCTGACTGTCAACAAGCAGTGCCATATACATAAGCCTAGAGAAACCACAGAAGGACCATTGGGAATCTCCATGAGGACCAGTGTTAAGCAGCCAATAAACAGGGAAAAGCAGCCGAAGGGAGAAATGAATAGGCAAGGAAGGTTTGTCTTGATTAGTATTTAAAAAAAAAAAAAAAGTGTTTTACATTGTTGAAAATTATAACTTTGAAGGAGACCTCCTACTAAATTTATTTTTAACTGCTCTATTGAAAATTCTCTACCACTAGCCAACATTATCTCTTAGTAGCTCAGCACAGTGTTTCTTTATTAAAAGAAATAGGCACGAATATTTTTGACTGAAAAATTAATAGCTTTTGAATTGATACACAGCAGGTTTTCTTTTGCAAAGAAGTCCAATATCGCTGCACAGCACTTCTATAACCATTTATTTAGAGTCCAAGTCAAACCTTTGACAGCTAGAGCAGCGCTACAAGCCAATATAAAGAACTCCAAGATGTAAACCAACAATGGGCCGTCTGTGTGAGGTTTGCCATTGTCAAATACATAGATTGTTTGGATTAGTTTATGTAAATGTACTGTTGTATTACCCTTTGAAAAAAAAAAAGATCACATTTGTGTATGAAAAGTGGTTCCCTTCACAGGCAGCATTATAAATTCCTTATCCTTTAACTTACATGTAAGAAGTAAAAATTGGTGCCTGACAAGCAGATATTGTGTGACAGTCTGTTGTCGGAGTGAGCCTGCCTTCTTTTCATTTATTGGAAAATAGAAAATTTTATTATAGATATCATCTTGTAAATCAGGAATTATTAAAATACGTACAGGTGAGGCATTTGGAAATTAATTATAAAAGGTAAACGTGCAATGTTTTGCATAAATTTTTACTTCCTTACTCCCTCAAAAAAGATACATGCATACAGCAAAATTACCTCGATTCTTTCCATTTTAGGGACACGCGGGTACCTGGTGGCCAATTCTAATGTGCAAAGTAATTAACTTATCTCACCCTCAACAATAGGAAGTTTAGCATGTGTTCAAATTAGTATTCTTTTAGCTATCTTTGATTTGAAAAATGACAGTCACTGGGAATCCACATCTAACCAGAGATAGGGACTTTCAGGTTACAGCCTTGCCAATAAGTTTACAAAGTATTTTCCTTTTTTCCATTTCTGTTGAAAAGAAGCTTCATGTTTACTTTAAAATTCTTAGTCACTAAGTAGTAGGATACTTTGCTGTAAATGTTACTTTCCACTAAATGCCATTTGGGTGGTAAGCGTCATTTCTTATCTCATAGCATCAAACCTGTCCCCATTTCATCACATCAAAGAAACTGCTAAAGCACTTTTAGACTGTTCTTTCATCAGCTGAGACATATTTTCTAGACCCATTTGTGGGGCTTGTCTTTGGATTTGGATCGTTACAGGATATGTTCATCTCAGGACTGTTCGCAAGTTTTTAGATGTGAACCTGACCTCAGCCCACACTGAGAACCATATCAGTGAATTGGATTATGAGTCTGCAGTTTTCTTTTTCCTTGGACTCTTTTGTAGCATCTCTTCATGCTTGCCATGAAATCTTTTAACCCAAAAAAACCTTTCCTTTCAGAATGATACCCAAGTCTCAGATTATGGGTTTTTTTTTTTTTTTTTTGCAAAGGGTATCTCTACTTATAATTCTGCCTTGTTCTTTGCCTGTGTGATGTTTCGGTGTTGGTCAATGTGTGAGAGGGTTTTGCTGTTAGTTGCCATGGGGTCAACTCACGGAGACCCCACGAGTGCAGAGTATAACTTTTCCATAGGGCTTTCAAGGTTGTGACCTTTTGGAAGCCAATCTACAGGCTTTCCTTCCGAAGCACTTCTTAGGTGGGTATGAACCGCCAACCTTTTGGCTAGTAGCCGAGCCCTGCATTGAAAATGAAACTATTCCATTAACAAATATTTATTAAGCATGCTACATACTGAAGATAGAACAGTAAAACAAGAGAACACTATTAGGCCACTGAGGTGTTTGGAGTCTTGTGGGACAAATTGACAGGTAAATACACCCACCTCCCCCCAACGCACACACAGAAGAATGGTGGGGTGTTGAAAGATTTCTAGGGAACACAGTCTGAGAAATAAATATGAGGAACCTGGTAAAGAGTTACTCAGCTTCCAGAAACCTTCCTTGGATTAAGGGTTGGGTGTGTGTGTCTGAAGGAAAACAGCTGGGAGGAGGAGGTACATAGTAAGGATCAGTGTGGAGGAAAGGAAGGAATAGCCAACATCAGCTGAGATAAGCTTTTTATACTTCTAACAAATCTGGGCTGTGCATGTAAGAGTATGTGAAAGTCCACTAGCACAACTGTATGTTCTAACAGTTTGGTACATATGGTGGGAAAACCTTTGTTGGTGTACGTTTATCATGGCCAAAATTTGTGATTTTTTTTTTCTTTTTTAAATGTGATTTGAGTGAAAGTTTGCAGAGCAAATTCATTTTTCATACAACATTTCATACACATTTTGTCTCATGACATTGAGTGCAATTCCCCACAATGTAACAGCTCTCCTCCTGTTTCCTCCCTGTAGTTTGCTCTTGCCTGTGTCCTTCCCTCCCATGTGCTCCTACCCGTCCCCCTCCCAAGCTGTCTCCCTAAACAAACACTGCCCTTCTGCTCGCCCATGATTGATTGCTCTAAGGAGTGTATCTACCTGGTGTAAATGTTCACCCCATATGCCTGTCTGTTGTTTGGCTGGAAACCACAGGAGTGACTTCAGTTCCAGACCTGAAGGGTAACTAGGGGCCATAATTCCCATGGGTCTCACCAGGCTCTATCAGACCAGTTAACCTGGTCTTTTCTTTTTTTTTTTTTTCCCTAATGATTTAGAGTTTTGTTCCGTATTGTTCTCCCACTTTATCCAGGATCTCC